GGCATGGAGATGGGCCAGGCTTCCTTAAAACGTGACAATGTTATACATTCGAGGTGGGAGCACTACGCGTAGGAGTGAAATTTCTGGGTGGTGACGTATGGCCATCTTCAGCTTAACCGTATTCTCTCCTGCACTCTCCAGCGTTGTTCCAGTTTACACTCCGCCACCAGTGATTCTCATTGCTACCTTTAATTTGCATTTTCTCTATTACTAATAAGGTTGAACGCTTTTTCATGTAGGATTTGCTTTTATGTGAGTGGATTGTTTTTATCCTTTGCCTATTTTTTTTTTCTATTCAGTTTTCTTCACTTAGAGCTCTTTGTAAATTCTAGATACTTATGCTTATAGCATGTCTTTCATGTTATGTTTATGGTAACTTTTGTTGAGAGGCAGGATAGTGTAGTGGTGAATCTGTGGCCAGATGGCCTGATTTTGAATCTCAGTTTAACGACTTCCTGGCTGTGTGACCTTAAGGAAGTCACTCAACCTCTCTGTGCTTCTGATTCCTTACCTGTAAAATAGAGATGATAATAGCCCTTGCCTCATAGATTTGTAAGGATTAAATGAGTTAATATATATAAAGTACATCTTGTCTGACACATTGTAAGACCTATTAACTGTTATTCTTGAAGAGAGGGCTTTTGCAATGGTTTTGGTTGTTGCCAAGCAAATGTATCAGCACTATCTTTTTTGTTTACTGTGTGTGTGTGTGTGTGTGTGTGTGTGTGTGTGTTTGCATGTTTGCTTAAGAAATCCTTTTCACAAAAGTCTTAAATATAGATTTCTATACTTTCACACAAAAACATGTTTGGTTGTAGTGTAAGGAAAAGATTTCATTTTATTTATTTTTCATGTGAATAATCAGTCATCTCAGCACCAACCTGTCCCCCACTGGCTTGTATACGGTCTCTGAAACATACAAGCGTCTGCACACACTGGCCCCTGTTTTCTAGGCTGTTTCATTTAGAGTCTCACTGAGTTTCTAGTCCATCCCTCCCTGCCAATCCCCCCCTCGCTTCCATAACAAGGCTTGTTCCCTTACTGTGTGCCAGGGGCTGCCCTACAGGAAACAGTCTGACCAGAGAGGTTTCCTCTCATCTGACCCTGGTCACTCCGTGGACCATTCCCGCCTCTCCTCCCCTGTGCACCTTTACGCTCCCACAGCGTGCATCGCTCCCCTCCGTGCCTTTGCACCGGCCCTTCCCTCTGGCTGCCCTTTTCCACTGGACAGACGTGGGGAAGCCCCTGGCAGCTGTGAGCCTTCTCACTCTCCCCCAGGCTCCTCTCCTCTCTGTGCACACTCGTCACTGCTTTGCAACAGGAACCTGCGCGGGTTACTCCTGCTTCCTTGTCTGGCCCCGACCAGGTGGCTAGTGTCTCCAGCACCAAGATCATTCCTTCAGGGCTTTTATGCCTACGACACCCGGCACTCCTCCTGGCACTGGCAGGTTCTCAGGGAAGGTGTTTGGAACTTTACATCGTCCTGCAAGTTGAAAGACTTAGTTCAAGTCTTAGCCCCACTCCCTGAGTCCGTTGTAATTCTGGACACATCCCTTCCCCTCTTGGGGCCTGCATTTCTTCAACTGCGGGAGAGGGCTGGGCTATTTGTAAAGAGGATACTTGTCATCTAGAAATCTCATTTGATTTCAGAAGTATCTCCCAGCTCTAGAATGTGGTGTGCATACTGAAGCCTTCTTTATTCATAATCTCCAAAGATTGGAAACAACCTAGATGTCTTTCAGCTGGTGAATGAATAGACAAAACTGTGGTACATCCATGCTACTCAGCTAAGTGCAGGAACGCACTGCTGATGAACGCGATGATGTGGATGAAGCCCAGATGCAGTGTGCTAAGTGGAATAAGCCAGACTCAAAGGGCTACAGATGAGATCACCCCACTTTCACATTCTGAGAAGGCAGAACTATGGGGACAGAAGACAGCTCAGTGGCTGCCTGGGGTAGGGATGGGGACCACAAGGGGCAGAAAGGCATTTGGGAAGTGATGGAGCTCATTCTATATCTTGATAAAGTGGTGGTTACAGGACTGTATGTATTTGTCAAAATTCAGAGAGCTACACACCAAAAAAAAGTGGATTTTAGTGCATGTAAACTATACCTCAGTGTTTTTTAAAATAAAGCCCTTAAAGATCCCAGGTAGGATGTCTCTAACTGGGTGTCACAGGTTTCTGTGGGAGGGAAGTTTGAAAGTGCTCCCCTTTGAGCATGAGCCAAGGGCCATGGGGGGGAAGGGAGCGGGGGGGGGGGGGGGGGAA